GTAGTAGTGTAGAGAGTCGGGTCGGTGTGTCTCGTGTTACTTCCCCCCCTACCCCCCCCCCCCCTAAATTCTTTTTTTTATTTTTCTTTAACCTTTTTTTTTGTTGTGGTCCCCTTAAATCTCAATTCTATAAGTCTTTATTTTAATTATTTTATTTCATTTATTTTTATTTTTTTGGATCACCGATTTTTTAAAAAATAATGATATAATAAAAAAATTAACAATGATACAATAAAAAAATTTGAATTTCCTAAAGAATACAGCAATCCAACCAGAAGATACATCTTCCAAGTTTATGCCGGATGCTATCCAAATAGCATACACCCATCTTCCAAAAAATATCAATTCCAGTATACACATTTTCCCAAGTGTTTTGGTGAAAAAAAAAAAATGCATTTGTCAAATTCATAACCACATGGAGAGATTGGAGAGAGAGATGACGGGTTGAAACAAATAAGGGTGCTCTTCCCTCGATATTTAAATATTAGGGAAAATATTTTTCATTTCTCAACATATCCAAGTTTCAAAACATATCTGATAGCATAAAGATTTGATGTATTATATCTTTTAATCTCCTGAACTAATTTACCGACTTTGACCTATCTCTTTTAGCCCAAATAAATATTAAAGAAGTATGGTTTTTTTAGAGTTCAGGCTCAAAACAATCATAGTAAAACGTACCTTCAAATAGTATCAAGAAATGTAGTTTCAATGCTGAAAATCTTTGTGATAGCCTTAAAATATTTTTTCATCTTTAATTATAAAATTTAAAGCTTCAAAAACCGTGTAGATCAAACAAATCTATGAAAACTTGAAAATTGAACGTCAAAAAATGCGTTATAATATGCACTATTTCCAAAACTTGAAATCTATTTTTTTCTCGTGTCCATGCATCTTGATGTTGAGATGATCAATTTGAGGATATTTGGGCATCAAACCACCTCTTTTAGTGAAAAATTTGAAGTGGGCTCTAATTTGACTGTTTTGAGCCTCGACTCTGTATAAACTTTCTTCATATTAAAAAGATATGCCTTTCTATATTCCCTTATCTCTGTCGTGCTATGTTCCCCAACATCTCTCTCCACAATGTTTATCCCCAAACCTCTCTCCCCCTCTCTGTGTTTTCCCAAGCCTATTTCTCTCTCTCTCTCCCCATGTGTTTCCCAACTTCTCTCTTTCCCCAAATCTTGCAATTATTCATTATCATGGATCATATTCTTGCAAATTCAAAGGCTAATTTCTTAATGGAATCAATCTTTCCCCACATCTTGCAATTATTCATTATCATGGATCATATTCTTGCAAATTCAAAGGCCAATTTCTTAATGGAATCAATGGTCGCTGAGTTTAATATTCTGAAATGAACATTGAATATTGCGAACATTTTTAATATCATTAGTCTGCCACCAGAATCCAGAAAAGAGTATACAATGAAAACATTTAGTTTGGTACAAGATGGTCATAATTAATGTTGATCATTAGATGTGAAATTAGATGGATGCATCTATTCCATTGATCAAGCTCAAATTTTAAAAGAAATTTTTTCAAACTTTGTGGCACACTTAAGCTATTAGATTTTCACATCGGATAGTTGTACATAATTGTGATTTCCTTGTATAAAAAGTAAATAGTCTCATTGTATACAATCCCATCCAAAAACAACAAGTGAGTTCATCGGCAAAAAGATGGTGGGTCCCATTGGGAATTTACTTGATGGAAAGTAAAAAGGATGTAACTTCTACAAAATTCTTTGAAGCCAAGTCCTTTCTTTGTCATTTGAGATTTTTTGTAATCATACATGTTAGTAATTCTTAATTCTTGTCATGGATTTCTAACTTTTAAGTTGTTTTAAAAATCTCATCATCATAATTATAACCTTTTTTCAGTTAATTGAAGTCGGCTACACAAATTTTGTTCTGCCATCGTGCTCTATTAAAGGCCACACCATCAACGAGGCCGTAAGTCCTCGTATATTTTTATGGTGTACTTCCAACTACATTCTGTTGGGTCTACCTATTGTCATTTTTAATCCTTCCATTTGAACTAACTCACACCTCCTAATAGGTGTTGTACTTGGGGATAAATACAGGGGAGAGAGATTGGAGAAAGGAAGAGAGAGAGAAGGGTATTTAGAAATGTATATCTTTTTAACATTTGTTTGGGCTAAAAAAATAGATCAAAGTGAGTAAAATTGGTTTAAGACTAGAAGATATAATACATGAAATCTATACACCGCTAAATATGCTTTGAAACCTTGAGTCTGTTGAAAAATAGAACCTAAAACAGCTTGTACAAAGATGGCTTAAATCAAGTAGATCTATAAACACATGAAAATATTGAAAATACACAGTCCAGACAATATGTTACAAACTACACTATTTCACATACTCAAAATTTTTTTTCTTTTCATATTCATACATCTCGATGTCAAGATGCTCAATTGGATGGTCCAACATCCAAACAACTTTTTATGATGAATTTTTGAGGTGCACTCTTAATTCTACATTTTAAGGTTTCAACGATATATAAACATTTTCTTAAAGGTTTTGATTGGGGAATTTATCAAGCGTGTGTACTATATTGCAGTGAGAGCATATTGTCCACTTGTGCCCTCGGATGAAAAGAAGCCAATTGTAATTTTATGTAAAATTTTGGGATGCACTTGTGATTATTTTCAAATGCAAGAAGATTTCATACTCCCGTAGGGGTATGCATTTCCTCTCTTGGGCAAAATTCAATTTTTAGGAGAGTGAAAACTAAGTGTTGACGTACTCAAAATTCTTTTTTATTTTTTTTGAAAATAATTATCCAAATAATTTGTAGGTGGTTTTCAAAATTTCAGATTGAAAAAAACCTCCTAAGTAGGTCCACTAACAACGGGAGTAGATCTACATTATATTTTTTGCATGAGTATAGTATCATTATCTTGTCAAAGTTTTTTTTTCAACTAATTGGAATCGGCTACATGAATCCATATCATTATGCTCTATTAAGAGTCATACTCTCAGTCAGGCCATAAGTCCTCGTATCTTTTCTAACTACTTCCAACCATATTTTTTTGAGCCTACCCCTTGTCTTTTTGTAATCTCCCACTTAAACTAACTCGCACCTCCTAACAAATATTTGACTGGATCTGCACACATGACCAACCGACTAAAATCTACTCTATCTCCTCTTATTGTCTATTAGTGTTAGACCTAATTTTTCCCAAATGTAATTCATTTCGAAGTTTATCCCTTCTTGTCTTGCCACTCATCCATCTCAACATATTATACATGAATATAGTATACATACTCCAAATTTGATATGTTTTCAAAAAAGGAAAAAGAACATGCATTTTCAGTTCTTTGACACTTAGATCTGCTTGACCCGGAATTCAACAATCTACATTTAATTTTGAGACATTATTTTTTTTTCATACTTGGAGAGTGAATTGAAACTTGTTTTTTTTTTTAAGGTGGCCGCTAGTTTGAGACAATGTATTCCCGAACCTCAAATCCTAGAAGTGCTCCTATATTAATATTTAACTGAGGAAGTACATAGACAGTGTGGGAGAAAAGCATGATGTCATTTGGTTTTTCAAACCAAAACGTTTTAACATTGTTAAGGTGAATGGGAAGGCAAACACTATCGCAGCTGCAAAGTGTGGCAATTCTTTCGTGATGATTTTGCGAACATGAAAACTTGCAGAGAAGAAAATTGGGTGTGGTTTGCATAAGGCTGAGGCCTAAACAATCAAAGTGAGGCGCACCTTCAAAAAGTGCCAAAATATAGTTTTTCAGTATCAGAAATCTTTATAATGGCCTCAAAATTTACTTTTATCTTGACTTATAAACTTTAAAAATTGAAAAATAATGTAGATCAAATAGATCTATGAACACTTGAAAATATTGAAAATTGATGGTCCAGATAATACATTAAAAGATGCACTATTTCCAAAACTTGAAATCTATTTTTTCTCGTGTCCATACATCTACAGGTTAAGGATTGAAATCAGGGTTTTTAGCATCAAAATAAACTCTTCTAATGAATTTTTGAGGTACAACTTTATTTGATTGTTTATGGCCTCACCCTTACATAAAACTTTTTCCAAGAAAATTTGAAAGCCTTAAAAATGCTCAAAATTTGAAAAAAAGAAAAAAAAAGAAAAAGAAAAATGAAACAATGAACCGCCCAGAAGGGCAACTGATCCAAATCGGTGAATCGTAAATACAAATCACCAATCTGACCAATTCTCCTGAGTAAAAATTGATCAATAAACAATAAAAATAAAAAGAGAAAAAACATTTAGAATCCTAGATCGCCACACACTGTTCCCTAACAGAATCAACCGGTTCTCTGAAGGAACCAAATGATTCTATGGGAACCATACCAATTCCCATTTCTGACTAGGAACAAGGTCAATTCCGACCGATTCCTTATTTGGATCAGCAATTCGAGATCATGATGGGTGAGTTTTGAATCACGATCTCACCAAATAATCATTCTCACAGGTGTTAAGTTTTTGCAGACAAATTGGTATTAGAAATGCTGAATATGGTCTCGATGGATGGAAAAATGCAGAAAATTGCCATCCCCTTTTCTTTTTACTATTTTCGAATTTTTGTTTCATTTCATCTAGACAAGATCTACATATGCATAATATTTCAAGTCCAACAACCTCCTCTGGCTCCAATAGGCTTATTCTGAACTTCAAAACCATTTACACGATTTTTTTCCATTTTCCTTTATATTACTAGACTATTTTCTATTGCCTACTTAAAACAACCATAAATAGAAACCATGAGGACCCAAATTCAGCAAGCTGTACCAATACCAGGGTCATTTTTTCTTAGCCCACCAAGAGGCCAGCACCGTTTAGAATAAATCAGAAAACATTGGAGGAAAAAAAGAAAGGAAAAGAAAAAAGAAAAAGACTTAGAATACGGCCATTTTGGAACCATATTCAATTGAATTAGGTGGAGCCACATCGTTGAGTTCTTAGAACGATAGAACAACAATTTTGTCTTCTCTGCCCAATGCAACGGTCATCACTAAAAGGTAATACTCATTTTCAAAAGAAAAACAACGGTTATGTTTATCATTACACACATGGTTATTTTTATCGTTACACACACACAAACACACATACACACATACATACACACTCACTCACACATGTCATTGGTACCAAAATATGACAACTATCTTTATAACTGCCAACAGCTCTCTCTCTCTCTCTCTCTCACACGCACACACACATACACCCCTACACACACAAATTAGGTGCAAATCAAGCTCCAAAGGTGTAGCAAGACAGACAAACGTTGTGTTGATTTGCTATAAGGTTTACGAGGAATCTACCCACATTGCATCACAAGGCTGTGCTGTGCTAATTGAAGGTGTTTCCATGTCCATTGATACTGCACCTTCCTTTCCCTTCTCCTTTTCCTGGCTTTCCAACTTCAACTTCTGCACATTTCTCTTTTTAAGTTTTCAATCATATACATGATGGACATGCAAACATATACTTGAACATGCATGTATCAGGCAGTGTTTTGTCTTTGTAACATATACATTCATCTCTTCAAGATAAGGGCCCTTACAAATAGACGTTTAAGGAAAAGACTTGCATCTCTTTCATATATGTCCATACACGAGGAAGACATATATGTTTGCCTTCATCTCTTTCAGATTTGAGTTATATTATCTATCTAACGACTAAATACATATTTTGAGTCCCCAGCAAGTTGTAGTGGAACATGAAATTTGTATAAAAGCACTTTGAGGAAGTTCTCAAACATTTCTTAACATCTCATAAGCAATCTGTACCAATGAATAGTAGAAATCTGAACTAATATTAAAAACGTATCAATATGAACTAGAGATATACAGGTTTATTATAGAGTTCGCATCAATATTGTGCACATTCAGAACGAAGTACCATTTCTTGCTGATTATTTGTACGTAAGTGTTAAATTTACTGTGGAACCTATACTAATTATCATAGATACCATTTCTAAGATCATGTGTATAAATCCATATCAATTGCATAGAAAGCTACAATGTCCGTTTAGAAAATAAAGTGGACCTTTTCATGCCCTTGCATTCTAGTAGCACTACCTTGGAATCCTTGAGTAAACGTTTGACAAAGTGCAAACTTCAAATTCCTTGGAAGTTTAAGACCTTAAAGATTTACATATACTGACTTGGTATAGAGGAAGCCAAGCATCGGTGTTTATTTTTGCCTCAAGAAAAAATGCAGTGAAAGTTACTCATAAAGATTGGCATACCAGGAAGGAAACCTATCAGTAACCCTGCAACACTGACTCTCAAGCTAAACCCATTTTTGGAGATTAGTTCGATATGCCACCAGACACTGTTAAGTCTGATGGAGCTACAATAATTGCACTTGTTAGAATAGACCTATGTTACCTAGACATGGCACGGATTGAATCTGGTGTGTCAAATTGTTGGTGTGACAACCTAAAATCACGACACAGGACAACTACACATAAACACACACATGGGTTTTGTAAACAGCCCCATGTGTGGTGATCCCCCTTAAAATTCACCATTCAAGCATAAAGGCCAGACAAAAAAGTAACCTTTAGCAATATGCTCTTTTGGTTGGATATCCATTCCTCGATCATATTCAAATTCATTGCCACTCAAACATTCCTAATAAACTTCCCCATATCCCTCTTCCCCTTCTTACTACTTCCCATAAATAAGATAAATGGCCAGAGAGGAGGGGGCTCATTACCACTTCTTCATTTGTTTTGGAGGAAGAGAGAAAGTGGCCCCATGTACTCATTTTTTGCTGGGTTCTAGAAAGAGATTGCCCATCTTCCTATGTATTCTTGATTTCTAGAGAGAGAAAAAGACGCCCCATTCGCTTAGTGTTTTGTTAATTTAGAGGGGGACACACATACACATGCATGCATATATGCATGCACACACGCACGCGCACACATACATATATATATATATATAGAGAGAGAGAATATATATGAGAGAGAAAGAGAGTAATTTTTCCATTTACCAAGAAAAAAATATATCTTGGGGATTTCTGCACTAATTTAGAGGGTGAGAAAGGACGAGGGTGGTTTTGATGAGGGAAGAAAATTCCATGGGGTGATATGGTTTTAACTAGCTTTATGGAGTGAGACGTCCCAAAAACCAATTTTTTTTGCTTGAATCGATTTTTTTTTTGAAATTCCATTTCAAACTCAAAGTTTTCAATTTCTTGTGAAATCGAAAGACAATCGAATCGCGTCTTTTTGGAGATGAAAGAGGTTTTGGCATCCGAAAATAATCTACCAAAGCATATTTCGATTGGGTTTGACGAGGTTAGTAGATTTAATTGTTTACGTTTAGGGTTTCACATTTTTTGTAAGTACCGTATTATGTTATTTTTTTTAGGTAATTTTGCTTGTATTTATATTTGATGTTTGGCTTGACATTTATGATGAAACTTCTTGAGTGCTTCTTTTAAGGGTTTGCTTGCTACTTTTGTGATTATAACATATTTTTGGTTGTATGTTTGACTATGTTTCTACTTGATAATGCAAAATAAAATTTTTATGACATATTTTGTGGTATGGTTGGCTTTGTTTCTAATTTTTAATGCATATTGAAAATTTATAATATACTTTTGTCTATGTTTGAATTTATTTCCATTATTTGATGCAACTTTCTTTATGACATATTTGTGTCTATATTTTTTTGGCTATGTTTGGGTGCTCCCACAGTGCCTAGACAGTGGCCACCCAGCCTCCCAAGCAGTTGGACCCCTCAACCGCCTGGCGGCCGCCCCCATTTTCTTGAACATTATCTAGGAGTGTCGAATGCGTTGACCCAGTGAAACATGTCAACACATGGAACTTGCGTAATCTTGGGGTGTTTGGGTGACATGAATAGACACAAGAAGCTATTTACCATTTCTTATGGTTAATATATACACCACCTGAGGTGAAATAATCCAATAATTTCACATACCCGAATTTATCAACTAGTTGGTCCAGATATTTAAGGCACACCTCCTTATATGGTTTCATCATTCCAAGTCTTAAGAAACTCAAATCAAAGTGCGTCCACCAATGAACTGACCAATGTCATTATGATTATTTTGAACATTTGCATGAATAATTCTAGCGTCTCTAGAATTCATAAATATGGTAAATCCAAACAATCTTGTTGGCCTTCTTGCCACAATGGTCTAACAATAGCATGCACTTTCAATTTTGAGTCTCCATCTATTTTGGGTGTATGGATATTGCTATACTTCCTCTACTCAATTTCTTTCCTTTTCCTCATTGGAAAATTCCAGTCCCCTGTAAAGTATGTAACTTGGACAAGCGTCCATTGTCCATGGCATGTGCAGATAGACCGAGGACAAGACACCATGTCCAAAACATTACATTTCTGCTTAACCTCCTTTGTAGGAATGTCAATATATAATACTTGATGTCACTTAAATCCTCTTTAAATGATGTATAGATACGTCGTGTCTGAAACACTAATTACAGCGTAGGAGTTTCAGACGTGCAAAAGTTTTGGGCACCAACAATATACCTTATTTATAAGATAGCTTTTAATAAATGGATTTATAATCATAGGATTAAAACATTTACCTTTGATCCCATACATTCATCCTTCCTCATCCGTGAGAACATGTTACCAAAGAGCTTTGCATCTCTTTTATTGCTCTCAATCTGCATCTGTTTCAGAGTCTTATGTAGGGCTTTCACTTCCCTGTATGGAATCAAGCCATTGTTCAACAAGTTCTTAACTTCTTCGCAGAGTTGCAAATTTGCCACACGTATAACAGTAATTATACAATGGAGAAATATACCATACTTTTCCTGCATAATATACCACAAAACTCCTGTGTATTGCACTTAAGCCAGGGTATCCACCACCCATTCACAATATGCACAGGAGAGATGAACTGCCAGCACTTTCGATTTCAGACATTCAACATGAAACAATGGTTCATCTCCACAATCCATATTGGGATTTGGTGGTGGACGCTCAGCCTGGGTATTTTAAATCCTACATAGGATGTATATGGTATACTTTTCCTAAAATATTACTAGATACACAAGATAATCTTATTGACTGAGCAAACTTCCATGCACACCTGTTTTGTGGATCAACCTCGAGGGCCTTTTTGAGATCCAACTCAGCTAGATCCAAATCAGATGTTCCCATATATGCTTGTGCTCGTCTATACAGGGCCTTCACATTTTGGGACTCAACATTAAGTACCTGCAAACAAGAATCAATAAAAAGTTTCATTATCCTAATAAAAAAATTTGCTAAATAAAGAGGAAAAGGGTAAATATGCAAATTAATCTACAAAAAAGAATCTTATGTTCATGGAAAACATATCAAAATGGTCCCTAGAAGAACTTAATATATAATGTAGACGCACCAAAATTTTGGAATCTCAAAGCAGTGTCTGGATGCGCTACCTGGTCATTAAAATGGCCTTTCGAGCCACACTCTGGTTTTTAAGGCATTGATAAAAAAGAGGGTAATTTAGTAAAATCCACTGTTTGCATTGGTTGCATTTACCAAAACACCCTTGCTTGTTTGTGTTTCGAACTTTCAAATACCAGATGGAGTTAAAAAAATGTCCTTTACAATAAATGACTTTCCGAGGCACTAACACAAACTGCAAGATGCAGGTGTTCCACAAACTTTAACAATATTTTCTGTATAAGCGAGTCGTAGAAGCAAAGCCAGAAGCGACCTTTGAACATAAGTTGATAGCTCCCTTATACTCATCTAGTTTAAGGCTACAAGCACCATTATTCAGCCAACAAGACACCTTCAAAGCTTTGACTAGCTTCATCTGATTGTCTTCAAAGGAGTCATCTTCTCTTACATAATCCATTGCCTGAGACGGTAAAAAAAGTAAGACTCTATAAAAGTGAGATTTAAGGTTTAGAAAGCATATTCTCTCCATCGCCAACCGTCTTCATTGGCACCACCTTATCATATTTTTTTGCAGCTCGCGTGTACTTCCCGATCTTATATAGAACATTGCCTTCTTCTTTCTTCGTCTCTGCAGCCTTAATTCTCTCATGAGTATCCATCTCCCAGGATTCCTCTTCCTAGAAAGGGGATGAACAGCATGAAACCATTAGTCATGGAATGAGAAGACAAAATTCATAAATGCATAAAGTCAACTATGGTACTATATCCAGACTTCCCTAACCCATGGAACACTAAATCCTTAATGTTAGAGAAGACAAACGGATCATCAGGTTATAATGTACCTCATCCACGTTTGCCTCTTTTCAAATGGTATTTTTGTAAATCCCATATATATGGGTAGATGTGTAATGCTCACATCACTGACATTCTAAGAGTGGGTTTTGCATTCTTTGCGTGGTGTCAGAGAATGTGAGTGTACTTTGAACCATCACCTTAGTGAAGTCCACCATCTCAAGTTCATAAACCACAGTGGAGAATGCAGGCACTATGGCAAGATCCCGTTCAGCTTCAATATTTCCAAATCCATATTCTGGTTTTATAGTCACGATGGATATTTCACCCTTCTTCATTGTTGCCGCAGCCCGATCTAGTCCATAAATTACTTGTTCTACATCAAGAAGTATCAACAACATAAAGAACACTGATTTTGTTAGAGCCCATTCACAAAAGTAAAAGCAGACCACAATCCAATGAACTGTGGAACAATTTGGGTCATCAAACTTGTACTTTGCAGGTGAAGCAAAGTACCTTCCCATTAAATGATCGATGGTGACGGGCAGAGTGGGATTCACCATTAATTCATTCTTGATGCAAATAAAAAAATTGATTCTTATTTTTATTTTATTTTATGGTTAGGACGTATTTTATTTTATTTTATGGTTAGGAGTTTTTTTAATTATGGGATACTCGGTGGGCATTGGAATCCTTTACTTTTGGGGATTGAATTGTTTAGGATGTGGATAGGACTAGTTGGATTGGTTATGATAGACTTGGTTTTAACGAGGCGGCTTGGTTAGGAGAAAGTAAATAGAGAGAGAAATGTTGGGGACATTAGAGAGACATATAAGGGAGAGTTGAAAAGGGGTAGTACATGGAGTAGAGAGAGAGAGACTAGGGAGGGATGAAAAAAGGTGATAGGTGGAGATAGGTTTTTTTCTTTTTCTTTTTTTTTGTTGCTTGTATTAAAGGAGGTGTGGCCCCTCCAAACAGAGAGAGAATGGGAATTGAGTAAAGAATGTAAAAAGATCTTTGGGGTGGGTGCCCTTGCAGGCCCATAGACAGGGTATATTCTCTCAACCCTTGTTTTTATTTTTATTATTTAGGTTATTATTTTTCCCTGCATCAGTTGATATCAAAGCAAGTAAGATCCATCAATTACAATGCTACTGAAACCTGCTCTTACAATCGAGGATATATTGCCGCAAATCATAGAGTTTGTGGGTCAATAAATTAAAGAGAGCATGAACACAACCCTGGAGGGTATTTGAGGAGGCATAAGCGAAATTAAACAGAGGTTGCAATAGTTGGAGAATACTTTATGAGGAACTTGAAAAAGAAATATGATTGAGCTCGAGATCCCAATGTTCTACTTTAATATGACCACAAAGTATTTCATCAATTGGTGTCTTTAAGACAAAGTACCGAGAAGAACGGTGGGACTACATCACCAATTATTTAATTGACTTCTGAAGGATGTAAGCTCGAGGTCGAGCTTCTCCCAACCCTGAGAGAATGATGCAAGTAAAAAATTAATTTTTTTATTTTATTTCTGGTTAGGGCTTCTCCTTTTTTTTATTTCATGGTTAGGAGTTTTTTTAATTGTGGGATACTCGATGGTGGGCATTGGAATCTTTTATTTTTGGGGATTGAGTTGTTTAGGATGTGGATAGGATTAGTTGTTGATTTTAATGAGGTGGCTTGGTTAGATAAAGTAAAAAGAGAAAGAAACGTGGGGGAAATTAGAGAGAGAGATAAGGGAAAGTTGAAAAGGGGTAGGACGTGGAGTATACAGAGAGAGAAAGGAGGGTTGAAAAAAGGCGATAGGTGGAGATAGGTTTGTTTTTAAATTTTCTTTCTTTTATTTTTTTGTTGCTTGTATTAAAGGAGGTGTGGCCCATCTAAACAGAGAGAGAATTGGAATTGGGTAAAGAATTTGAGTCTTGTAAAAAGATCTTCAGGGTGGACTCCCTTGCAGACCCAGAGAGAAGGTATAATCTGTCAACCTCTTTTTTTTCTTTTTTTTTGTGATTCTGATTATTATTTTTTCCTTACATCAATTCCCTATCCTGGAGGGTCCCACTCTCATCACCATCTGTACTATCGATGATTGTAGTATATTTTCTGTTTGTCAAAAGTTTCCAATCATTTGGTTCACAGTAGACTAATAAGGAGTAAAGGAAGGTATTGACCTTCATCAATCACAAACTCAAAAAGATCGTCGCCATCAAAGCCCTTCTTCTCAAAAAGTGTTCCATCTTCAAGCAAACCAGAAAACCTAACTACAAAATGATGTATCCAAGAATGTTAAAACAAACGTCTAGGTAACCATGAATATTGAATATACTGCATAAATACAAGGGAAAGGTAATAGTCTCAACTCTAGATGTATAATTTGAGTATCCGATAACACATGCGAGCCATGAAATTGCAAGTAATGACAACAGAACAATAAAATCTTTATGGACATCTCACAAACAGAAATCAACATTAGAAAATATAAAAGAAATACAAAATGGGGTTATCTTTAGAAACTAGATCATTTCTAGAAACCAATAGTATTGCAGTTTTTATAACATCTTAAATGCAATTCAGCATTTTAGTTACTTCTACCATTAGGTGAGAAGCATTAATAGTAAGAGCCCAAAACAAATGCTATGCCATTAGGAAACACAACACGATTTGAAAATCACATAGGGTAAGTTGCATGAGCAAATGAAAATGGATAATAAATGAAAACCAGAACACGATATATAACGTTTCCAGCTGTAAAGAATCCAAGCCATGGGACTATTCACCAACATCACACATAAGAGATTCAAATGGAGATTGGAACCTATTTTTCTCCCATAAAAAACTCAGAAGGAAGTTTCATTTATTTTAATCTTCCTATGACTAGAACTAAATTCCAGTTTCTCCTAAAAATAGGAGTGAAGTATGACTTGTAAGAGCCATGCCAATCCTATTTCCATCCAAAAACAAAAGGAGAAAGGAAAATCATAAGGTGAAGCTGTATGATTGATTGAAAGAGATGATTGATTGAAAATCACAACAAACTAGAGAACAAGCGATTCTTGAAAGAACCCAAATCGGGCAATTAATCAACAGAATCATGCATAAGAGATTCAAATCCAATTAGAAAGTTAGAAGTTACAATTATTTTTATCTCCAAATAAATATACCAAGTAAAGTGCACTTACCCCTTGCGACTGCTCCTTCATTTGCAGATGGGCCATCACCTTCCTTCAATATCTTTTTCAAGACACTCATATAACCTAAAACATCAACTACCGACTTGAAAGATATTAGCTCAAGATCAATGCTTAAAGTTGCATTGGGGGGGATAGCAGAAAATCCATTTTCAGCACTTCTTCCCTGTTCCTTGAAGGCATCTGGAGATATTAAAAGGAAATCCATATAATATGCAACAAGTTGAGAGATGGCATAAAACAAAGAAGATCCAAATAAGAACGTAAAATGTTTTTTCATTGGTAACTGAATTTTATTAGTCATAAAATTAAATTAAAAGTATGCCCTATGCCGCTTGATAAATTGAGAATACATCTACTCTTTCCCAGATCAATGTAAAGGCTTCAGATTATGCAGCATAACATAGATACAAATGAATGTAAAAAGGTTCAGACTATGTGCAATGTTAGGCATCATAGATTGTACTGATATGAATTAATAAAACTTTTCCTTTCTTATTGTAATGAAGTAGAACCTAAGGTGGTGCCAACCAGTCAAAATGACAAATGAGATAAGTAAATTAATATGTCCTTGCATTCATGGGTGGAAGTAATGAATTTCTTGTGTTGGACCATGAATCAATAATCCCTTAAAACATTTGTCAAGGTATGGATATCATTACACCTACTAAGGGGAAGTGCTGAAGTTTTAAATCAAGTCAAATGGCATACTAACATCAACAGATGCATACAAAGACTATAACACCCAAGCTTAACACAGCAATTTATACGTCAAAAGGTTAAGGTGAGGTGACACTAGATATCACACTGCAACAAATCCTCTTCTAGGTAGGGCATCTTTTGAAGATTATTGAACTTTTCAACTTCACCTATTTCTTCTTTTTATATATATATATAAATGCAAATTCACCAATTTCTCTGGACCCTTTTTTCCTTTTTCTTTTCCCCAATAGATGCAAATTCACCAATTCCTCTGGCCCTTTTTTTTCTTGTTTTGCCCCTAATAGATGCAAATACACTGATTCCTTTGTCGTTTTCAAGGACCACAATGCAAGCACTTTATAAGAGGATACAGAGAAAGGAATTTCTTCTTTCCATGATTGAATCTTCTATTCTCATGGCTAGTGAGTCCAATAAAGGGCCCTGCTCAGATTGGGATCATAGTTAGGGCCATTAATATGAGGCTATGTTCAATAAGTTAGGTTCTTAAAAGCATTTGTTTGTGACAAATCTTCTTCTTGCGTTATGCCTGTACTAGGCTGTCAACTTGGGAAATAACCCTTGACGAGATGTTTTTGGGAAACCTAAAGACTATTTCCCATAAAAGTGTTGCACTTTAAATGTTCTCAAAAAGAAGTATAGCACTTTAAAAGTAACTCAAAGAGAATTATCCTTTGCTATCAGTGAGGGTAGCAAGAAGTAAGATCCTGGGTGCTTAGGTTACAATTGTATCAGATTGGTGATTGGAACAACTCAATGCCAATAAAATCTTATGGATGTCCCACATTCTTCATGTGAAACTAAGACTTGAGGTGGTTCTTAAAAGTATATATGCCATGAATATCTAACTATGAAAGAGGTGGCTTTTAAAATCTTTTCAAGATATAACCATATGATCAACAATCGATGAATCTTAAATGCATTTGCTACATATTCCACCTACCATTAGTGGTGGCAATCCAGTCGGGTCAACCCGACAACCAGGCAGGTCGACCCGATCAGGGTACAGGTCCGGGTCCAAAACCCTGGACCTAAGTCGGATCCAGGTCCAGGTCGACCCGACCCAGACCTGAACCGAACGTATCTATACATATACAAACATACATATATACCCGAACGTATCTATACGTATACAAACATACATATATACTTAAAACATATGTATACATATATGATATATACAAAAAATATTTTTTGAAATATATAATATTTTGATAAATTTGCTTAGATATATATATGAAGTGTGTGTGTGTGTGTATATATATGCTTTTCTAATTTCTTCCTTAGCGGAATGTGAGAGGTTGCCCTTTGATTTACCAGAAGCAAAGATACAATACCGAATATTCAGGTATTAAATTTGGTTTATTTTCTTACTTCTTACCTAAATCTACTACTTTCTTCATTATTTGTATGTGTGTTTGTGTATATATATATCTGAAATATATTTTTTGAAAAAATTGTCAAAAATTGTTTGTTAGTTGCTAGACCCAGACCCCACCTGAACTCAAACCAGTCCGGTCCGGATCCAAAATCGTAGACCTGAGTTGGGTCTGGGTCGAACCGACCCATTGCCACCCCTACCCACCATTCAATAGTCAAAGAAATGTCATGGCTTAAGTTAATCATGTGTATTTGTGGTATACATCAGGGTACAAGAGCAACTAGTGCTCCGAACAAATTTCTTGGATAGGTAATCGTGGGATTGGAACCATTACATACTATGCTGCAGTTTTACTGCCCTAACCACAGACTCAAGAGCCCCACCAAACCATGTTGCAGTTAAGTCTACCCTGTACAATTTCTCAAATAGCTAACAAAACAAAAAAAATTCAATAAACATGTTGAGGCGTGGCCACTTGTGAAAGACCATATATATATCAACAAATCGACATTAACTGTGAATCTTGGAAGAACTAAAGACATTTTAAAACTTGCATCCTTAGTGAGGGAATAAAATAGAATGGATAAAATTAAGCAAGAAAATCTCAAGGAAACATACATCGAGGTTCAACTGTTACCATGGCCTTCTCTCCCCTTCTCATTGTCTTCACAACCCTTGGTAGTGCAGGACAAAGATGACCTACATAAGCTTAAATATGAGAATTCTTCTCAATGGAATTAATAGAAACCTCAGTCTTACTAACCAACCCAAGACTTCAAATTGCCACCAATCAAAGTAAAAATATTAGATTTTTCTAAAAAAATATTTCCTTGCATAGCTCATTACCATCTTTGACACAAAATTCCAGTCCTTCTTCAGGAGTTTTCGCAACCACCTGTCCATCGACGAGCATTACTTCGTATTTAACTGCAAAATAAACAATTTCCATTATTATTCAACAGTCTGATTCTATATAAAGAACAATAGGAAAAAATGAAGAAATAAATGAAAAAGACCATGCTCAATGCAATTATAAACAATACCCCAATCCCCCAAATTGCACAAGAAAGGCATCCACTTATTATTAAGACAAGAAAACTCGCTCCATTTAAGAAAAATTCCAAATGCCAATAAAGAAGAAACTTCTAAAAATAATTAAAGAGTAGAAAAGTTTTCATGACAGAGTACCTGTAACTTCATCCAAATCACCAGGGGTATCATTTCCAGTTCCCTTAGACAAAATCTTTTTCATAACACCCCCATCCTTCCTAACATCAATAACAGAAAACCAAGAAATGAGTTCAACCTCAAATCGAACCTCAAAATCAGGGGGAACACCAGGAGCCCCACTTGCTCCATATGCCATATTAGGGGGCACTGTGAACAATGCAGTTTCTCCCCTCCTCATTGTAATGATCCCGCACTCCAATCCCGCAACAACTTGGCCTGAAATCCCAAAGTAGACATCAAATAATCAGAGACAAACAGACAGAGAGAGAGAACCCAACTGCATACTAACCATGACCAATCTTAATGGTGGAAGGCTCTCCCCCATCTCTGCTTGAAACAAACTGGGTTCCATCGACTAAGGCACCGACATAATGAACTGATCACAAATGAAAAACGCCCATCAAAAAATTAAATTCACATCCAAACCATCCATGAAAAGCAACTAGATAGATAGATAGAGAGAGAGGGAGGGAGGGAGAGAGAGAGAGAGAGAGAGAGATAGAGAGAAAGCTTGAGTTCACAAGCTTGAGTACCTATAACCTCGTCATTGTATGCTGGGGTCTCATAACCAGAACCAGACTTGATGAGCTTCTTCTTTAATCCCATGCGGTTTATTTCCCTCTCTTCGCATGCTTCCAATGGAGGTGCAGATTCTATCTCTTCTCCTGGTTCTTCTTCCAAGTCATCGTCTTCTATATCCGAGATGTCAGTGTCCTTGGGAGCCATCATTGTGCAGAGAGAAGTAAAAAAAACTCTCTATTTTCTGGGCTTCTTTCAAAATTTAGAGAGAGAACGAAGATCGAAGCTTGCGTTCACCATTACTGGTTTGGACACTGTCCAGAGAGAGGGAGAGAGCAAATGCAACGCGTTTGCGCACTCGTGTTGCCAATTTTCTCGTGCGAGAAATAGCACGTGTTGAATGCTATATGTCCCGAACAACGGTTTTCAAGGAAAGAGTTCATGTAAGGCTGCAACCTTCAAATATGGAAATAAGGTGCACCGAAAAATTCATATTGTTTTCGTATTGGAAATCTCTCTTATTGATCATTTATAAAAAGAAAAAAGATTTGGAGTTCGAGAAATGATGTATCTTACGCCATATTATTTAGACCATCTATTTTCTAGATTTTTATGTGTTTATAGATATACTTGATTTGAACAATTTTTAAAGTTAAAAATTGTATAACTGGAGACGAAAATAAATTATCAAGCAATCTTAAAAATTTTGACACCAAAATTTATTTATGATAAAATTTAGAGGTGCACTTTGGATTGTTTAAAGCCGCAACCTTATGTAAACCACACCAAATAAGTAAAGTGTAATTCACAAGAAATTACAATTTTGATATCGAAAAATCTCCAAATCAATCATCTAATCCTTGGTCATTATGATTTTTTTTAAAAAAAGGATTTCAAGCCCTAAAAATCGTGTATAGTATATAACATTATCTAGACTGCCCATTTTCAACTGATCATAAGTCCATCTATTCCATTAGTTTAAGCTACAAATTTCATAAATATTGGTAAATTTTGATTTTAGAGCCATCATAATCACTCATGCCCAAAGTGATTTTCGGTAAGGTTTCAATGTGAGGCTTTACCTTTTCTATAAGACCTAGGCCTTATAGAAATTGCATAGCAGAAAGCAACATTTTTAACTCTATGTTATCCGTGTCCTCATGTACGGATTGGATGGTAATCATGTGATAACCATCGTATTAGTGACATCTTTAGTGGGACCCACTCTCTGATCATCACCGTAGCTGTTATGGTGATCTGTTAATCTGGAATCATATGCATATGGATCTTTGGACGCCCTTATTTTGATTGGCCCAAGGTAGAGACATTTAGCCCATCCATTAATTCGTGCACAACTCCCATTATGCTCTTTGCTTGGTTTCTTTCCGAAAGCTAACGCAAATTTTATTAAAGAAAAGTATACAATTAGGCCATTTATTTTTGGTACAAAGTGGTCACAATTAATTTTGATCATTTGATATAACATGTGATAAGGATAATAAGATGAATTAGTGACTTCTTATTAAAGGGTGTGGTTTGTATAAGACTGAGGCCATAAACACTCAAAGTAATACACACCTTCAAATAATGTCGAAAGATGTTGTTTTATTTCTAGAAATATTTGTGATGGCCTGAAAATTTATTTTTGTCTCTAATTATAAAATTTAAAGCTTCAAAAATAGTGTAGATCGAGCAGATCTACGAACGCTTGAAAATCTTCAAAATTAACGGTCTGAAAATAACAATACAAGATGCATTATTTCTAAAACTAGAAATCCATTTTTTCTCATGTTCATGCATCTTGAGGTCGAGATGATCAATTTGAGGAATTTTGGTCGCCAAAATAGCCTCTTCTAATGAATTTTTTTAGGCGCGCATTAATTTAATTGTTTAGGGCATCACCTTCATATAAACATTTTACTTTATTAAATGTCAAATTTGATGATACCATGAGCGAAATGAATAGACTAAGGCACCTAATATATAATGTTCATAGCATCTATTACTGCAAATTGCAGTATAGATTTGGCATTATTTTAAAAGATTGGCTGAAAAAAGATCTATCAAATCTACATTGCCACCTAAATTGGATGATGTGGAAAACCATTATTAAGAGTCTCAGGTTTATTTGAAGAAACTCAATGTTCATTGATCAATGTGAGCATACAAGCTTGCCTTATATAGACAAATACAAATGACAATGATATAAATAAATCACAGAAATATATACTATACCCAGACTTACCATAAAATATAAGATATTGTATTTACCCTTCCCATATATATTGATTACAATATATACCTTCCATATTAATCTGGTAGACAACATATATTTTCTTTTCACACTCCCCCTCAAACTCAAGATGCTATGAGGGAGAGCAGTTATAATTTGTGAACAATAAGCTGCGGAAATGAACTGTTAGATCTTCAGGTTTATACTCAGATTACTTGATCAACAAGCACAAAGGTACAACAAAACACGACACGTTCAAGCAATGGAAGATCAATAAACCTCAAAAATAAAAGGATCAAATAGAAATGCTTGAACAACAAATGAAAACTTTGTATCTTCTCTAGAGACAAAAAAAAAAGTCTAGATAACCGAGAAAACATAATGGCACTTAGAGGGGCCAACATATCTCAGTGCATATCCGAGACCGATTCAACAACTTGCAGACAATATCGAGTAACAAGACAACATACTTGATCATATAGAAAAGAACAGAATCGAGTAACAGACTTGATCGTACAGGAATTGACACAATGAAGATGAATTTGGCTCTGATGACATATGAAGAGTCTCAGGTTTCTTTGAAGAGCTTCAAGGTCTATTAATCAATATGAATATACAAGTTTACCTTATATCGACAAATACCGATGATGAGATGACAGTAATAGAAATAAATCACATTAACCTATATTATACCCAGACTTACCATAAAATACAAGATATTGTACCTACCCTTCATATATATACTGATTACAATATACATATTTCATATTAACCTGGCAGACAATATTTGTTTTTTTTTCAAGATGGTTGTCACATATATATACAATACCTTTCTTTTTTTTTCTATGGTAAATGGACTCGAAATCGAAGCGTCTCTTTCATTTAGAAAGAAGATTGAGAATCCTTTTCAAGAAAACCTAGGTCGAAGGAATTGGTGGTCATCTTGATCATGAAAATTTCTGCTTACAATAGCCTTAAATAAATTCCAAAAATCACAAGTATTTGAATAATCAAAATATATGTAGTAATCTCTATTTTTTATGCTCTCCAATCCTCAATTGGTGGAATGTGGGATGGGGGACAAGCTATCATTCACTTAAGAAAAGGTTTTTTATAGGTGTAAGCTTTCACTTCAGTCAAATATGAAATATGAACAAGGGATTGTTTTTTGATGCAGCTTTGCATATCCTCAAACAAGTTAGAAATTAGTAGTTTTTTTGCCCTCATGTGAAAGAAGAAGGTGATAATGACTAATTGATGCTTTTAAAATATTTATGAATAAAAGCTGTGTTCAAGGAATTGAACAACTGAAAGTTTCCCACATTGAGGAAAAATAAAGTCCCAATCCCAAGGGGTTTCGACGTTCTGAAGCCGATTAATTCATGAGACAGTTTAGATTTGTTCACAGTTTCTAATGCCAAAAGATTTCATGCTTCCCAAGGGAGTACACTGTCCATTTACTCCCTCAAGCAAAACCTAATCTAGGAGTACTTTTAGGACCTTAATTTTGGGTATATATGCTCTTCAATATATATGCTATACTCGCGAAAAAAAATTCAAATTGCATTATCTATGGGCTTGAAAAAAATAATACTTCAAGAATGAATAGAAACTATCCAATTTTTGGAGGGTGAGATCCAAGTGTTAGGGAAACCCAAAATTCAAAATTTTTCTTTTTAATATAGTCATCTAGTGATTGTTAGGTGGTGCCCAAAATTTTGGATTAACAAAATTTTCTGAAAAATCTTTCGTAAAAGGGAGTAAGTGTACAATATGCTTTGGTGGGAGTTTAGTATATGCCCTCTTTTCTAATTATCCCTTGAAGGCGGAAGAGGTAAAGGTTATCTTTTGTATAAAGGATTGCATACAATGAGACTATTTACCTTTGATACAGTCATAATTACTTAAAACTATCAGATGTGAAATCTGATAGCTTGGGTGTATCACAAAGTTCGATAAAATTTCTTTTAAAGTTTGAGCTTGGTCAATGGATTAAAAGCAACCATCCAAATTCATATCCAATAGTTAAGATTAATTATAACCACCTTGTACAAAAGGTAAGTGGTCTCATTCTATATTTTTACTTTATATAAACAAATTAAATAGAAACATGCAAAAATATTACAATATTTTTTGTTATCATCACCATTTGAGCTTTATCCCAATTATTTGGATCAAACTACACAAATCTTATTCCACGATTCCATTTTATCAAAGGTCATACCCTTAATCAAAACATACTATTTATATCCCTGTCTTTTGGGATTTCTCCTTGTTTTTTTAGAACCTTTTACTTAAAAAAATGTTCCATCCTAACCGATGTTGTTCTAGGTCAATGCTACGTATGGCTAAACTATTTTTTCATCTTATCGCCCATTGAAGCTATCCCTAAGTTCCTGCTGATATATTTATTCTAAATTATGTCCTTTCTCGTCTTGCCAAATTCATCAGCCAAATTCATTTTCTGGTTATGTTGTTTCTTGACTGCCCGACATTATTTCATAAAGCATGGCTGATCTTCTAGCCGTCCTATAGAACTTTCTCTTCAATTTCATATGTATGTGATGATCACATTAGACTCTAAAAGCACATGTCCACTTCGTTATTTCTTGACTGCCCGACATTATTTCATAAAGCAGAGCTAATCTTCTAGCCGTCCTATAGAACTTTCTCTTCAGTTTCATATGTATGTGATGATCACATTAGGCTCTAAAAGCACATGTCCACTTCGTTATTTCTTGACTGCCCGACATTATTTCATAAAGCATAGCTAGTCTTCTAGCCGTCCTATAGAACTTTCTCTTCAGTTTCATATGTATGTGATGATCACATTAGACTCTTAAAGCACATGTCCACTTCGTTGAACCAGCTCTAATTCTATGCGTGACATCTTCCTTAATCTTTCTATTCTCACAGATTAACATTAAAAACATCTCTTTTACGTACTTCTTGTTCATCAATCTTGACTATCGTTTATACTCCTATTATTACTCAATTTGAATTCCATATATTCTGTTTTAGTTCAACTAATTTTAAAATATTTAGATTCTAGAGCAACCCTCCGAAGTTCTAACTTTTGTGTGGATGTTATATTTAGTCTCATAAGTGAACATCTGCAAACAACATACACTATGGTACCTTATCTTGTAGATGCCCAATTAACT